ATACTACATACCCTGATATGAACCAACGTCATTCATGCTACCGTGGACCGTCTCCAGCTTCGACTTCGAAACGTGCGTTTGGGCACGAGGCAAGCTCAATTCAAATGCATACCACTCCTCGACTGCTTTTTCAGTCGTGAGCTGCAGCATGGTGAACACCACTTCACATGTCCCCGGCTGTCCTCAAGAGAGTTCACGGTGGCTACTTAGCGGCATGGGCAAACCTGAAAAGACGTGCACGACAAGCACCGGTCAAATGACGTGTATCGCAGATTCTGGAATCTTCCCAGCGACAGACAAGGTAGCCCGGCATCGCATCGCCAGACCTCGGTCTTTTGTTCTGTTTCAGACTTGCGGTTCGTATCCGCTCTCAATATTTTTCTCTGCCAATCCGTTGTCCAACAGAGCTACCGCGAAAAACGTGGATTCGCGTTCGACGTTGTCCAACACCGCTCGGATGCCGAAAAAGCGAGCGCTTCCAAGCACACTGTGACTCATGAACGTCGCATACAGAGGCGGCCGTCAAACACGCCATGAGCTACACGAGGTATCCAAACTGTATGATGCTTGTTCTGCACTAGCCCACCGTGCCTAACATTCATATTTGTAGGACGTCGGCGGGGCATACCAGCCGAATTTCCTCAGTCAGGTCCTTACGTTTCCGCCACCACGAGCAACGACCTCGCAAGGTTCACGGTCAGGATCAATCATCCAGTATAGTAGTCTCTATGCTCTCCTTCTTCGCTTGCGTTCGACTTACATCCACACGATCAGGGTCGAAGAAAGATGGACCAGCGGCGCCACATTCGAGAATACGTTCGTCCATATATATCCTTACTATATGCGAAGCCAGGACAGGACTGTAGTCATCACGCTGGACGATAATTTTTGCAGGAAGCGGCCAACACGGAACCTTGCACCCCTTTTCGAACTTCACAGGCCTCTTCCTTTTGTGTTCTGGCAGACCACAGCGTCCAGACCCGCGCCTTAATTGCCGTGAACTCCCTACTTTTTCATTCCAGATCCACCTGGATGCTTATACACACGATTTCTTTGCACCGCCACGTCTTCCGCTGGGATTAATTCGCCCGATGTGTCCTGCAAGCCCCGTATTTGAGAAGCCGCCTGGGTCATTCTCCACAAAACCGACTTCGAAGGCGCGGACAAATATCCCGAAGACGAAGGACAGTGCATCCGTACGTTCTTCTCCTTCTCCGCCTAACAATGGATGCAGCTTTTGACAATCATCCCGTTCTCATAGACCGTTTAATTATGGGATGTGCTTCTGCCCAGATTCACCCCTAAGCGCGCACGAGTCCTCCCGGTGATGCACCGGTGTAACCTGTTATAACAGTCTAGGTCAATCTACATCGGTCTTCCCTTGTGGGTCACCCTCTCGATGAACAGAAATTAAATAAAAACGGAAGGCAGGGCTGTCTGCTGTCCGTAGGCCTGTATTCAACAATCCTACAAATTTGTCCTCCGATGAGTCGGAATAGGGGAAGGTAGGATGGACGAGAGGAGATGGTGGGGATGAGAGGCCCTCGACCCTCATCTGATTGTATTCTCTTCACCTCGGTTTTTGATCACATCTTGACGGGAATTCAGACGCGCGTTAGGGACGACGGCGAGATGTGCGCATCGAATTCAAACTTGTAACCGTGGTTGATCGATGGAAATCCAACACTTGAATGTTGCTTTTACAGACTTGAATCCAAAGTCCATGGACGAAAACGTAAGGAGGTGACCCTAGTGGGTTTGCAGCACTACCGACATCATCGGTCCTAGACGGCACGAAACCCTTACTCTCACTACAGCGCTTACAGTAGTAGGTGAGCCAAAAATGCTACACGACGAGTGCGTTCACCTCACGTTCTATGTCCTCGACCTTTCTTCGCCTCACACAGTGGTCGTCCAGACCTCTCAAATTTCCCGCTCGCGGCCAATTTTACTATGATCAGCCTTCCGTATGCAACAAATAGTTTCAGCATCCGTGCTTCATTTTGTAGAGCTGGCGCCGTCAAAAGATTGACAGCCCGTGCAGCGGCAACGCGGGGCTAGGACTCAGTGAGACTCATACCTAGTCTCTAATATCAGTACTGATGCCAGACAAGCAGTAGTGCTATATGAAACTGGGGACGTAGACGCTGCGTAGACTACGAGAAGTGAGGGTGGCATCGTAGTGGGTCTGAAAGACGGCCTCAGTGCCGACGAGACGCCCTTGACCCTGTTGCAATTGACTGCACCTTGACCGGTTTAAGTTCATAAGTTATGATATGCGCGGACACCAGACCTTCGGCCACCAGTATCACTGGTACGTATACGTTTTCACTGAAGTTACAATCCATATTGATCGTGGTCCGTGTCTAGATCGTATGAAGTTCCATTTCCTTTGACCTCGGCTTGAAGCATCTGGCATCAGTACTCTGGAAAGTGACCTGACCGACCTGACGGCACCTGACGGCGCCTGACAGCACTGATCCTTCGACTTGACAACGGTCGAACGGTGCTATTCAGGCGCGTCAGGTCGCGTCAGGTGCCGTCAGGTCGCTTTCCGGAGTGCTGATGGGGTATCATTGATGAAGGCCACTGAAGACTGAAGTCATCAACCTTGTTAGCGAGAAGCCCCTCGAGCCATTTTGTTACTGGTAAGTAGGGCATCCATGACGCCGTATGACGCTAACGGTTTGACACTGCAGCCTATGGAATATATATCAACTTGTTTCCAGGGACTGGAGCCGCCCTCCCGTACGTCAGTGGTCGACTCGTCTAAAGTTGTCCTGCCGTTGTCGGCGGCCAGACACGCAGGAAAATGGGCAGTAACTGCCGCAGTTGTGCAACACTTTTGGCCCAGTGCTCTACTATTACAGTACAACACGGCATTTGTCCCGTCCAGAGCGATGGCTTCTGTGTACTTTTGAATGGCAGTCTTGTAGTCTTTCTGCGCGAAAAAAGTGTTGCCCTCATCTTTCAATTGGGCAGACCTGTGAGCATCAGCCATGGCGATGAATGCGTCCAGGGGTAAGGGTTGTGGAGGATGGTGAATGCAGTGGCCGGTGCCGGTGGGAACGAGGGTAATTGACGTCCCCGTGTTGCGTTGCTTATGCCTATTACGCATAGTTATGCGTTGCCTCATGCCTGAAACATAATCGGAAGTGGTGGAAAATTGTAATGATTTGCGGTTCGAGAGCAATTCGAGAGACTGGATGATCGTAATCCATAAGTATGTAGAGGAGTTCAAGACAAGATGATTGTCGAGCCTCGAGACTCAACTTTGAGCAAGTAGCCCCTTGGCTTACAGAGCATGGATTTTGCGCCTATGCACGCGGCGCTGTAGTGTAGCTGGTTATCACAGCGGATTCTGAGCAAGGTTCACGTGACCACGCAGGATCGATTTCCGTTAACCCAGGTTCGAATCCTGGCAGTGCCTGTATTTTTTCATCGTCTTCATGAGGCTATCGCATGTTTACGTAATGCACGTTGGTCTACTTACGAGCTGTTGAAACTTGAACAGGACAATCCTGCGCTAAGCTGCTGTGTAACACACTGATTGTCAGTTTCGTTATTGCACTTGCAGTCTCCGCCGAATGGCGAACATCGCAGCTTGAAGAGCTCGAACAGACGACGAATCGTCCCCCTCCGACTGTTTCCGAAACGCCCGGGCTGAAGTCCGAAAACTGGCAGTCTGATTACACTTATACTCTAACAGCCCGTCAACAGCCCTCCAAAACCTGATTGACGTTCCTTATGTCCTCACCACCGTCTCCCGGAGTCTACGTACCGGCCATTCTCTTCTTCACGCCAGAAGAAGAACTCGATGTACCCGCGATCCAAGCCCATATCCACCGCCTTGCCCGAGTGCGTCCTCCGCAAACCTTCTCATGACGCATTATGTCTGATCTTTGATATCGCAGGGCGGCGTCACCGGCATCCTCGTACAAGGTTCCAATGGCGAGGCTCAACACCTTTCTCGCGAAGAACGCAAGGCTGCCATTCGGCTAACGAGGGATACCCTCGACGCGTACGGGTTTCAAAACACGGTCGTCATCGCGGGCACCGGCGCGCAATCGACACGCGAGACCAAGCTGTTCAACGCGGATGCTGCAGAAGCGGGTGCAAGCCATGCTCTGATCTTGACACCTTCGACATGGAGACCTGTCATGAGCAAGGAGCACATATCGCGTTTCCATCGTGAGGCGAGTGTCTATGAAATCGCATAGCACTCTCGGACCCGATCTCCACAGCTGCCGCGCACTCCCTCGCGTTGCCGGTCCCATCTAACCACCCGTTCGACAGGTCGCCGATGCATCTCCTATCCCCACCATGATCTACAACTTTCCTGTCGTGACCGCAGGGCTCGACCTCGATTCAGATACGATCGACGAGCTCGGGCGTCACCCAAACATCGTCGGCACGAAGCTCTCCTGCGGCCACCTCGGCAAGCTCACCCGACTCGTCACCTCATCCAACCTCGCCCCGGGCTCCTTTGCAACATTTATCGGCCGATCCGACAGCTTCCTCCCTGCGCTTTTCATGGGAGGTGCGGGAGGTATCATGGCGGCGGCTAACATCGCACCCAAGGCGCACCATGCGCTCCTGAGTGCGTACAAGGCAGGAGATCTGGATCAAGCGCGCCTCATCCAACGAATGCTCAGTCAGACCGATGGGCTGCTTGGAAAGTACGGTGGCATCGGGTTCATCAAGGCCGTCGTTGCGAAAGAGTTTGGATATGGTGGCCCGACCGTGCGCGGACCGCTCTTGGAGTCGTCGGTGGACAAGCTCAATGAGGCAGACGGCGCGATCCTTTCGGAATTGATCGCGTTCGAAAAGTTGCTTTCCAATGTGACAGGCTCCTAAACCATGTTGCTGATGGTTGTCGGGATGGTGGAGTAGCTGTGATTAATGTCAATTTGCACGCCTAGACGGCATGGCCTGAGTGAATTGGTTTGAAAGAGATAGGAAGATGAACGGAAAGCAAAGAGATGATACAAGTGCGATTCTTCCTAAATATTGCGTACAGCACGAGCGGACGACGATATTCCATGTCTCTGGGTGGCAGCGTGTGGGGAAGCGTATGTAGAAGAGGGGCAGATGATGAGACAAATCTAATAGCCCACGCCGATCAGGTAATCCGCAAGACCCTCGGCCACGATGGTCGCTTCGGGAGCCTGGGTGGGTGCGATGTACTCTGCCACGAGTACGGCCTGCTTTGTCTTGACTAAGATCGCGCCGTCCGCCTGCAAACGGCCGTTAGTCCAGAGGGATCCTCCCGCGCGGTGCCGCACGACGCACCTGCTTCTTCCCGTAAACACTGCGATCATTGGCCTGAAGTGCGAAGAACTTCTGTCCAGCGAGACGGAAACCAGAGGCCTGTACGGCGGCGGGATCTTTGAATGCATTTACAACGGCTTTCTGCTCATCTGCGGACAGCTGTACGGGAGGAAATGGGAACGAAAAAGTGTATGAATAAACCCATCGCGCATAATCAAACAGGTAATTTGCGCACCGTGTATCCCGGGGACGATGCCCAGACACCACCGCTCAGTCCAAGGATCGCTCCCCTCGCGATCTTGCCACTCCCGACGAGGTTGGAGTCGACGTATGCTACGCGAATGCCACCGTCAGTTTCCGGCCGTCAAGCACGATCTCGCAGAGATTCTTACTCTGCCAGGACATGATAAGCGTTAGACGGAGAAAAAGAGGAAGAGGCGGAAAGCGAGGAGATAGGGATGTGGATGGATGGTGGTGTGCGGTAAGATCTTATGTGATGTCTAAGGTGGTAGGTGGTTCTGCCAAACATGTACAAACCATTCCGGCGGTATGGACCGCCTCGCTCCTCCGTGCAGCACTTCTGTCACACCTCGGATCACTCGAGGCTTCGCGCGCGTCGACACTCGACTCAACCGCCGGAAGATGCTAGAAAACATCTCCAGAGGCTCAAAGTCTAAGAGTGTTTTCCCGAAAAGGCAGCTGGCAATCGAAGTCACGTGACAGTCGCGTCGCGTCGTGGCTTGAACATGAAAATTCGAGGCGAGGCTTCTAAACAGAATTGGATTCAAAGAGTGGGTACGAACATTATGATGAGGAAAAAGCCCCGGGCAGCACAGCGCCCTCGGCTCCAAGCAATGCAGTACAACAATACGTAGCACGACTCACACGAAGCGCGAACGACGCGCGGAAGGGCTCGCCATGGCCGCAATTCTCGTTCGCGTCGCCTGAACATCAAGGCAAACACCTTCGTTGGTCCAATCGCCTGCAGCGCCCCCCGGGATGTCACCGTAGCTCCACCACTTGGCTGTCCAGAGATCGCCGCTGGAGACAAGATCGTCAGCTTCCAACCACGATACACTATCCAACGCATAACGTACTTGTACGTGACTTGGTCGCCTCCCTGGTACTGTGACATGATGGTAAGCGTGTTATCCACGCGAAACCAACGAAAAGAACTCACAGCAACGTTAGCCTGCCAGGCGGCAACCACACCGCAACTACCGCTGCTTGGCGGGGTCGAAGTTGGGGCCGCGCTCGTACTGGTCTTCGTGGCGGTGGAGGTTGTTTTGGTAGGGGTAGCAGTGGTAGTAGCCTTGGTCGTAGTAGTAGCCTTGGTCGTGGTAGTAGCCTTGGTCGATGACGGGGAAGGAGCGGGTGCGGCGCCACCACCGTTGGTAAGTGCAGCCTTGACGGCCGCATCATAACGGTTATTCTCTGCCAACCAGTTCAGTCATCGGAGGTCAGTTACGGAACAAGAGGACGTACGGTAGGCCTGGGATGCATCCCACATCATCACACCACCAAACGATGAGTATTGGCTGCGCGTCTTGTCGATGATGTTTGTGAGAGTGCCGATGTCGACGTAGCCTTGACCGGCAGCGGTGGAGGAGGCAGGAGCCCCGATGTAAATCTTCACATTAGGGTTAGGTGAGGTAGTCTTGGCCCAGTTATCCCTGGATCAGCGGGTCAAAAGACGTGATCTCGACCTTGAGATGAATACGCACCATGTGCCAAAATTCCAGGCGTTCACATTGTTGAAGTTGTTCAGGCCGCAGAAGTTGTTATCTGTAGTTTGAGAAGGAGGTCAGCTATACTTAGCCTTCAGCGCGGAGACGACGTATACCCACAGAACTGAACATAGATAGCGTCGAAGCCAACCGCGTTGATGATATCACCCATCCACGCATCTGGGAAGGGGCATTGAGGAGCACCGGTGATGTAGTATCTACACGCTGGTCGGTATCAGAATGTCGTGTGTAAATCGGGTTAGAAGAACATACCGTTTGCTGGCACCGCTCGCGTGCGACCTGATCTGGTTGACAAATGCAGGCCAATGGGTAGGAGAGCCACCCTCGAGATCCAAGTCGACACTATCCGGATACGTTATCAGTGATAAACTTCACATGGCCATAAAACAAAAGCTCGTACCCGTCCAAGACGGCGTTGCCGAACGGGCGAGTATCACTCGAGCCTCCGAGAAACAGATTCCAGATTTGATCCGCAAATTGCTGAGCCTGCGCGTCCGAAGTGTAGGATACGGAGCCGGTTGCACCGCCGATAGAGATAGTGACGATCTTGCCCTTGGATTGGCAAGTCTGGATGTCGGACGCAAGGAAGGAGCAATTGGGTAGCTCGCTACCGGGGAAGACGGGGTCATTTGCAGTGCTACAGATCTGCATATGTGGTCAGCCACAGGCATCGATTAGACACGGCTGGAGACCTCACGTTTGCGAGGTCGATCGAAGGCAGCCCGCCTGTGCCGAACGCGATGTTCAGGAAAGCAATGGGGAAAGCGTCGATGCTGTTGTCCTGCGCACGGAGGTTTATCGGCGAGTTAGAGGGGGAAACGGGGCCAGGTGACTTACCTGGCAATAGAAAGCGAGCGGCTGCTGCCAGTTGGCTGAATTGCCTCCGTTAGCGGCACCGTAAGAGTTCTGTCCCCAGTAACTACGGCGGTTCAGTGCGGGAGACAACTACAGGTGTTCGAAGTCACGTACACAGCGAGCTGGATGATATCATACAGGTAAGCAAACCGCTGAGGTGGATAGTGGCACAGTACTCACGTTGTCGTTGCGACTGGGGTCGAAGGCAGTGACAGAAGAAAGGAATGTGGAAAGGCCGAGAGCCAGAAGAACCGAAGACTGAAGGCGAGCAAACATCTTGTCGTTGCAAGCAGCCAGCGTTGTTCGACTTCCACACAATACAGCCCGTCATCTTTATACCCTGCCTGCCTGTACTTCCCGAACCACCGCGGCTTTGTTTGGACCATATGGTTGATGACGCCTAGCTCAAGCTGCACGAGGACCCGATATATCTCACGGAGACGATCAGTCTAGCGTGGGTGCCGTCTTAGCCAAACAAGTCTGCAGTTTTCCGGCCGGCGGTAGGATAACACGTATCCACGCAGAAGAAGCAACGGAGAGTTGGGAAGGTGCACAA